TTGTTAAGTCACTGCGAGTCCTGAGCGGTTCCTGCATCCCAAAACCCATCTGACACATTCGGTGTTCCCGAAACACGGAGGATTTTTGGAAAGGTGGGAGGACAGGGCAGGGTTAAAGAACCAGGTGAGCAACCTAAATGCTTCTTTTGTATTGCTAAATTGCTGTTACAAACTGGAACAGTGTCAGGGCAAACTGTACCCAGGCTGCTTAATTGTATTTTGTTCTGGTATCAGAAAAATATGGTCAATATTCTTCGGGAAAAAAAGACTCCAAGTAATTTTTGGCTCCTGACAACTCGCTGTGCTGTTCCTCATGCTGAGTTTGTTAATGAAGAGCATCCAGCCAGCTGGCCTGGGCACCTCTAGATTTTGTGCTTGGCCACCTCAAAGTGCCTTGAAAATGGGGTTTGACATGGGGGGGGGGGCTCAAGGCAAATTCCAGAGTCACACCAAGAGCTTTTCCAAAGGATCCCAAAGCAGGGAGTGAGCTGCTGCCTGCACCCTTTTCAGCAATGCCAGATATTTCTGATCCTCCTGACGCACTCGAGAACCATCTTATCAAGGTAACATCCATTTCATGAATGGCAGTGCCAGAGCAATAAATTACCCAATTCCTTTTAATTACAAGTTGAGAAGAAATTTGTCAGCGCGTTGTGTAACGCTGACGCCCCCGGCCCAGCCCAGAGCTCCTCAAGGGCTGGGCAGAGGGTTTCTAGAAAGGCTTGCTGGGAGGTTTGCCACCAGCACGTGGAGATACCTCCCCCAGGGTTGGCCTTTTGGGACCAAAAGGCAAAAAAAAGGCGTTCTTTGTCTATGAGACTCTTTCTGCCCTGTGGCTGTGCCCAGAGCCAGCCCTGAGCTGTGCAGGGCAGCCCTTGGGGTCTTGCTGGGGGTTTTGGGTCTCCAGCTGTGTGGGAAGGGGGTGTGGGGGAGAGTTGTCAGCATCTGAAAATCTTTATTGTCTCTTTCTTTTCCTTTGGAGCCCAAAGTGGGGCTGTGGCAGTGCCCAAACCCTCTCTGGGCAGGGTAACATCAGGGCATTAAACAAGCATGAGGTGTCTTGTACTGTGACACGAAACACAAGGGGAAAGGAAAATCATCCACACAAAACCCTCCTGAACCCTGAACTGTAGTGTCTAAAAACCCATTCCAAACTCCAAATTGGAATGGCTCAAAACCTCTCCCAAACTCCAAATTGGAATGGCTCAAAACCCCTCCCAAACTGCAGATTTTGGCTTTGTGCAGTCACAGATGATACAGAGAAAACTGTGCCATGAACAGAGAGTTTATTTCAGCACCCACAGACAAAGCTCAGGAGAGGTCACAGGACTCACCAGGGGAGGGGGATGAGACATTTTCTTTGGGAATTGCTGGGGACATGCAAAGCTTTCTGAACTCGGCACAGGGTCAAGGACATGCCCGGATCACCTGAGATGAGGGTCTGATCACTTCATCTTTGAGGACACTTGGTAGATTTGCTGCTGGCACTCCTGGGGGTTTCCGTGGCAGGATCCACTACTGCTCCCATGGCAGGATCCACCACTGCTGCTGTGGCAGGATCCACCACTGCTCCCGTGGCATCCAGATCCACCACTGCTCCCGTG